GTTTTAAGTCCATGAAAACAGCTAGGAATAAGGAATGGGATCTCAGAGACCTGATTTTCTCCTTTCAGTGCGGCTCGTCCATGACTCTGAACCCCACCCCGCTTGTTTCTTTTCTTTGGACTCCAATTTCCCGATCTCTATAATGGGCTTTAGGGAGATTATCTGTCAATTTCCTGTCTATATCAGACATTCTCAGCATCTGTTGTTCTTGGGGAGACCATAGGAAGTTGGTGGGGCTTGTCAACTGAGGAAGGTGACTCCCCTCCCCTCCCCCCCCTCCCGCCCCGGGGTTGCCACTGTTCCACAGCAGCTTGTCGGTGCCACGTGGGAGAGCAGACTCCACAATGACAGATTTTCTTATTTGTTCAAGAAAACTGGAAGTACAGATTTGATGTAAGATTTTGCATATTTAAACGCGAAGAAGAAAATTGAAATGCCTGCCATCCCAAACAAAACCGAGCATCAGATTCAGAGTCAGCCCATATTTGGGACCCCTGAAGCAGCCACATCTCCAGGCCACCGTATTGTCCAGGCAAGATCACCTTGAGGACTGGGTGATCTTTTATTTTCACATTGTTTCATTTTGACATTAAGACCCACGTTGCAGCCTTAATAGCACCAAGGAGGAGACGATAAAGGTCCCCGTTCTAGAGACGAAAAAGGTCCCTGTTCTAGAAATGGTTCGTCTGTTTTTAGCTCCTGGGCTCAGCGTGGTTGATGACGTCATCCTGCGGTCCTGGTGCCCCTAAATCCTCCTCAGACATCTGGATTTCTGCTCTTTGTGCTTCAGCCTTCACCCCACCCGGATCCAGGCGGGGTCTCCCACCTCATTCTGTTACCATTTTCTCATCGTGCCGATGAGTTTCAGAGTCCTTTGGGGTCCTTTTCAAAAAAATCATATAAAAATATATGTATCAATATTTACCAACCATATCAGTAAAAATAGGCATCACCTAAAATGTACCATTTTAACCATTAAAAAAAATTTTTTTTTCAACGTTTATTTATTTTTGAGACAGAGAGAGACAGAGCATGAACGGGGGAGGGGCAGAGAGAGAGGGAGACACAGAATCGGAAGCAGGTTCCAGGCTCCGAGCCATCAGCCCAGAGCCCGACGCGGGGCTCGAACTCACGGACCGCGAGATCGTGACCTGAACTGAAGTCGGACGCTTAACCGACTGCGCCCCCCAGGCGCCCCCCATTTTAACCATTTTTAAGTGCATGAAGCACATTCACCTGTTGGGCAGCCACCACCATCGGCTCGGGAACTTTTCACTTGCAAAACTGAAACTCTGTCCCCGTTAAATGATAACGTCCCCCTTCCCCTCCTCCACCCCAGCCCCTGCCGCCACCATTTTACTTCCTGTCTCTATGAATCTGATAATTTCAGGTCCTTCACAGGAGTGGAATTATACAGTATGTGTCTTTTTGTGACTGGCATATTTCATTTGGCATACTGTCCTCAAGGTTTATCTATGTTGCAGCAGGTGTAAGAGTTCCGTTCCTTTTTAACGCTGAATAATATACCCCATGGTGTGTATATACCTCATTTCATTTATCCGTTCGTCTGTCGCTGGACATCCGGGCTGCTTCACCATTTGGCTGTTGTGAGTAATGCTGCTGTGACCAGTAGCCACACGGGGGGAGCTGGTGGCTGCCATATTGGACAGTGCAGATCTAGAACGTTCCATCATCACAGAAGGTTCTATCGGTCGGTGCCGCTGTGGAATTTACAAGATGCATGCACACAAATATCTCTGATTTTGATGGCCAATATTGGCCCTGTTTACAGGAGAGCAAACTGAGGCCTGGAGAGCATGGAGACCAATCTAAGTCATGCTGCCTCTGGGAGGCAGAATGGAAATCAGTTCCCCAGATTCCCGGCCAGTGTGCCATGTTCCCTCCCTGTCACTGAAAGTTCACGTGGAACATGGAGGCAGGTGGGGGGCAGGGGGGAGTGAGTAGGTTATAAAGGGTACAGGCTCTGCAGCATTTTTCAGGATTTCTTTTGAAAGAGGAGTAGCATGTGTGTTCATTTCCCGCGTGCTGTGCTAACATTTCTTGCCTCCTGGTTTATTAAATGTAATGGGCCAGATGTTCCAAGGATTATCGCCCTCCTAGCCTGGTCGTGCTGACAGCCTTTGGCTTTAATCCATTTCCTGACTGCAGCAGGCCCAGGAGATTTCACGACCTAGGTAGCCAATTCTCTCCTCTTGCACAGCAATATAATGTCAGCCTGGCATGTGCCCGTGCAGAATAAAGACTACATTTCCCAGCCTCCCTTGCAGCTAGGTGTGGCCATGTGACCAAGTTCTGGCCAATGGGATGTCAGTAGAGGGTCAACGGGGCAGCACCTGGGGAATCTTTTTTTGACTATTATTTTTTATGTTTATTTTTGGAGAGGGAGAGAGCACAAGCTGGGGAGGGGCAGAGAGAGAGGGATACAGAGGATCCGAAGCAGGCTCCGCTCTGTCAGAGCAAAGCCCGACGCTGGGCTCGAACCCACGAGCCGTGAGATCGCTCCGGACCATCTACAAATGCATAGGACACAATTACACCGTGCTGTGCTGCAAGAATGACGTGGCTCCGAGTGCCACCAGTACTGAGGTGACAAAGCTCTGGGTTTCGTTTGGTTTTGTTGCAAAGAAGGACGCCAAAGCCGAAGGGCTTAGGTTACTTGCCTGCAGTGACATAGCTTGTCAATGGCGGAGGCAGGATTCAGACCCGGTGAGGGGTGGGGTGTACCGTGAGCAAGGCTTGGGATGCGTTCATCGTGTCCCTCAGACGCCGCGCCTGCTCACGTCTGGCCTCCAGGAGTCAAGCAGCCTCTGTGTTCAGGTCCTGGGTCTGTCACTTCCTGGAAGATTGCCCTTGAGTTGGTTTCCTCCCCTCTGGGCACCCGTGTTGCTTCCCCTCGATGAACGGGGGATAATCATGCCCACATCCCTGCTGAGTCTGTCGGTGAGCCCAGCAGCGTGGCACTGGCCAATCAGGGTGGATCCAGGGGGCCGTAGGGTCCCAGAGGCTCCTGCTCCCTGGGGTGAGCGCCTCAGTTCCCCTGGGGAATCTGAGGGGAGGCGTCATGGAGGCTGGTGGGGGGGGGGGCACTTGGGGTGGAGGGAGGATGGGCTGTTTGCTAACTGACGTGGAAAGATTTCTCTACGTGCACCTCCCGTACAGCCATTCTGGAATGCGTGGGCCACATGCTGGCCTGAGCGGACAGACGTAGAAATTGTTCATGCTGGGAAGCTTGGGAGGAATGATCCACAGAGCCAGTCTCCCTTAACCTCCAAGCTCTACCCCTGCTGTGGGTTTAAAGAAATAAAACGCAGCCACCACTCAGATGAAGGGTTAAGGGGGAGAGGTGATGTGTGATGAGTTCCGCCTTAGACCAGGGGCTTTGCTGTTCCTCACGTACTTCCCGCAGCTTTCCCGGGGCGCGCGCGCGCGCGCGTGTGTGTGTGTGTGTGTGTGTGTGTGTGTGTGTGTGTGTGGATTGTTTGCTCTCCTGTTACGGATGAGGAAACAGCGACCCAGAGGGACGGGTACCACTTTGAGGGTTTTGCAGGCATTTACACGACCACCCTGTCAGAGGGCAGGGGCGTGCGATTTGGGGTCTGAGGCCATCTCAGGTTTGTGCAGTCAGGCAGTCTCTACCACTCCGGAGAAATGGGGACAGGATCCGGCCTCAGTGCACGTTGGGTTCTATAAGATTGTTCGGTGGGCCCGGCTCCTGGAGTTCACCAGGGGAGAGCCAGACGCCTCAGGACCTTGACCCCAGGGACCCGCCTGCCCTATTTGCACTCCCAGACTGGCTCCCCGGGTCAGCACCAGCCCTAGCGTCTTGGTGCCCCTTTTCCCCACTTCCTGGCAGAGTTGAGCAGCCTTTGGATTAGGGAGGTGCTAATGATTTGATATCTCAGCCCAGGGATTTAATTGATCCTTTAGCCCAGCTGGAAAAAAAATCCCTCCCTCAGATAGCTGTTTTATCTTGTGGCCCTTGTCACCAGTTTAATTATGCTAAGTCCACATCAGATGCCTCGAATGAGAGGGAATTAAAAAAAAAAAAAGCCATCGGGCCGGCGGCTGGGTTTCTTTTCTAGACCATTTGGAACCCGATTGCTTGTTATCACCCTCGGAATGAGCAGCTTTCACCTGCAGATTAAAAGGCATCCCCAGAGACCACTTGAAATGCACAATGAGGGAGTTTAGTCTTCTCCATGGTCCTGAAACCTGGGTTTTATGGGACATTGCACCCTCCAGCCTTCCGTTTGCCTTCGCAGGCCATCACCCTCCTTGGCAAAAATGGTGCCCCGGGAAAATTCATGCCTCTACAAAGCGGTTAATGGCGCATGCAGCCATTTCGAAATGTAACTAGAAAGACATTTCAAACATTAACCTTCTGCAGAAGGGCGCCATGGACACGACTCTGGGCTTTGCAAGCTTGCGGGTGGAGCTTTAGTTTTCCTTTTCTTTTTCCTGTGGGTTTTTTGTCTTTTGTTTTTTGGTTTTTACTTTTGATGGAAACTTGACTTTAATAAAATTAAAGACTTGGATTTTTCTGCTTTTGCTATAAATTACAAACTTCTCAACTTTGCCTGCTGACTCGACCTCAGGACAATTAGAGAATGACACGTTGAAACGACAAATACACGGGCCAAAGAACAGTTTCAAGGTAGAACTGCGTGATTAATATAACTGTTTTGTAACGCAACACAGCCATCCAAGTAACTGTCTCTCAGGGTTTGGAGGGGCATAAAGGGAACTGACTTTCTGCGGGTTGATGTTAAAACTTAGCCCTGTGAGTTCTTCTCAGAAGCTGTCAGTGCTAACCAGCAATCATCGTTAGCAGTCAGGGGTTCCCAGTGTGAATGGGTTCTGATGAAAGGGGACAGACGCAGGGTGAGAAAGCCTGATCAGCGCTGGCAACGCCCATCGTTACTCCCGTCCAGCGAGCACTCAGGAGCCAGGCACTGTTTGGGGGGCTTTCCAATGCCAGACGTGTTACTATGGTTCCATTTTACAGATGAGTACATTGAGGTTTGGCGAGTCCGGCCCAGAAGGATGTCCGCGGCCGCTCTCCTGGGAGTTGCTCAAACGCAGACGTGCCCGAACGCCCACCAGCATGGATAAATTGCTCACTGTGTGTTCACAGAGTGGAATCCTCCGCAGCCGTGAAGACGGGTCCCGAGCCGGAAACCAACATGGGTGAAAGAAGCCGGACGTGAAGGAATACACGCGCTGAATGATTCCATCCTAGGACAGACCGGAACAGACAAAACTAGGATACTGTCCGAGGTCAGAATCACGGTTTCCTTTAAAGAGTGGGTGGGGGGTGGGGGTGGGGGCAGAAGATGAATTGGAGCATCAGGGGGTGATTTGGGACGCTGGCAGGGTTCTGCCTCTCATCTGAGTTGGGGGGGGGGGGGTACAGGAGGCACTTGCTGAAAATTCATCGAGCTCTGGCCTTTTTCTCCTATATCCTTCCCGTTGTTTGAACAGTGTTGTTGAGCTGTAGCTCTCACGCTCTAAAATCCACCCACTTCAAGTGTGTAAAACTGAGTGGGTTTTCGTGTGTTCGCAGAGCTGGGCAAGCATCACCCCGTCCAGTTCTGGAACCTTTTCATCACCCCGGAAAGTAAACAGGGACCTGCTAACAGTCACTCCCCGGCTGCCCCCAGCCCCGGGCAGTCACGATTCTCCGGTCCGAGTTACCCACTCTCGCCGCGTGTATGCAGGTTAGATTTAAACTGAAATGTACAAGGCGCTGAAATAACCACAGGCCACGGGCAGACACTACCCTACGCCCCTCACTTGTGCGTCCCGCACTTGTCTGTGTTCTTCGGTCAATCACCCGCCTGGCCCCGGAGGCATTCAAAGCTGTGGCTCCTGGGATAGATGATCCGAGGGTGTTTTCCTGTGGGAATATCCCTTGTTTCTCATTTCTCCTGCATGGGAGCAGGGCCGGGTCCAACCATCCTTTAATGGAGACGGGAGGTGAAGATCCGTTTGCCAGCCAGTCTCCGGCATCTAAGCTGCGGCTTTCCCCAGACAGGGATGTGCCTCCGGATGGAGTCATTTCTCCGGACCCCTTCACCGGCCCCCACCTGCTGCTCTGGGTGAGTGGAAGAACTGTGTCCCCATGCCTGTCGCCACCCCCACGGGCCTGGCCAGGGGAGCCCAGCACCAGGCAGGACACAGAAGGACAAGTCGGGGAAAGGAACAGAGAGTTGTGCGTCTGGGCAGTTTGGGGACCTGAGTGCCTGGGCTGGGGTGCAGCGGAAGGTTTGTTCTCTCGGCTGATCCAAAGTTAAAAACCGGCAGCCAGCAAATGACCGTTTGCGAGGCACCTGCACTTAATCCTTGTAACACCCCGAAGGTAGGAATCGGTATCCCATGTCCCCCGCAGATGGGAAAACCGAGGCTCTGAAAGATGCCCTGAGCCAGGGGCTTAAAACTATTTGTGATTTTCTCACGGTTCCGGGGCCAGCTGGAGTTCAGCTGGATGGTTCTGTGGGTCCCACCTGAGTCCAGTCCCGCAGCTGGGAGCGTGGCACAGAGCTCGGCCGGGGCTGGAACGTCCAAGGTGGCTGTTCTCCGCGACTCTCTCCGCGGGGCCCCTCCTCACAGCTTGGCAGCCGGGCTCTGAGAGAGGAGGTGAGAGCGGCTGATTTTCTCCTTTTCACTGTATGTGCTATTGGGTTAACGAAGTCACAAACCAGCCCAAGGGGCCACTTTTTTTTTTTTTAATTTTTAAAAAATTTTTTAAAAGTCTATTTGTTTTTTGACAGCGATAGAACACAGGCGGGGGAGGTACAGAGAGAGGGAGACAGAGGATCCGAAGCAGGCTCTTCACCGACAGCACGGAGCCCGACTCGGGGCTCGAACTCACACACCGTGAGATCGTGACCCAAGCTGACGTCGGATGCTTAACCGACTGAGCCACCCAGGCGCCCCAAGGGACCACTTCTCGGTGCCAGGAGCATACAGGGTTGGGAAGGATTGTCGCTGGCCACATTTGCAGGAATCTTCCATATGGGATTTATGAAGCAGACGTTAGGTGCTCTGCTCAGAACGAGTACCAGCTGCGTGTGGCGGTGGGGGGTGGGGGAGGGCTCAGCCGAGGAGGCCGTAAGCCTGGACTGGGGTAGATGGGGATTTCTGGAGGGGGTGGCTCTAGAGAGAGGGAGGGACTCCGGCTGTCCCTCAGAGTGTCTGTTGGGTTCTGGTCCCAATTTCAGTTGCCCAGAGCTCGAGCCAGTCCCTTGAGCTCTCTGCCTCAGTTTCCTCACCTGTAAAACGGGGATAACAACCATCCCTCCTTCCTAGAGTTGCTCTGAGGACCTGACAGGCTCTGCCTGTAAAGCACTTAGCGCTGTGTCTGGCACGTAGAAGTTCCCGGACGTTAGCTCCCGTTGCTACTATTCGGGTTAAGGTGAGGGTGTGGTATCAATGACGAGTAGGGTTTTCCAGGCCAAGATGGTCCGAAAGAATGTCCTGAGCCTCTGCGAAAGCCGGGGGAGCTGAGAGGAAGCGGTGAAAAGGAAGCCCATGTAGCAACAGGCAGAATTTGGGGGGGTGGAGTCACCTGCAAGGGGTAGACCAGAGAGGCCTTGTGAGCCAAGGAGAGGTTTAGGGATTTTGTTCTCGGGGCAGCGGCAGCCTCCTGGGACCAGGTTAAGGCTCTGCTGAGGTCTGGCTGTCTGGCTGCCGTGGGGCCAAGCGGACGGAGCCAGGAGGGGGATGGGGCGGTGAGCGTGGGGGCCCCTCCTTCATCCGCGTCGGAGGGAGGGGACCTGGTGGTGCCAGGGAGGGCGGGGGCGGGAGGGGGGGCAGCTGACGCTGGCAGTCGATGGGGTAAGAGGCACGAGGGAAAGCCTGGCGTGCGTTCCTCCTGGGTCTCTGGGCTGGGGGCGGGTGTGGGTCCTGCGAGGACGTGGACAGGATGGAAGGACAGCCTGGGGCAGGAGGTGACAGCGGCTCCTGCAGGGAAGGGGGCGTCTTTGAGAGCCCAGCGGGGCTGCCGTGCCGCGTGAGCACCAGGAAGGAGGGCCACTCCCAAGATGGAGAGAAGACCTAACAGTGGCTGGCCCGAGAGGACAGCGCGTCCGGGGGCTTGGCGGTCCGGGGCAGTGGGCTCTGCTCTCCAATGAGAGAGGAATCTTCCTGAATGCAACTGAAGAATGAGGCTGGGGAGCGAGGCGAGGCCCAGGGTGTGGAGGACTCGGAGTGGCCCGGAATTTGCACCTGCTCTGGGAGCCCCAGATGGCTCCCCGGCGTCACAAGCAGAGAAGCGATGTGTTTTAGACGAAGGCCAGAGCGCAGAGGGGCTCGGGGGCCAGTGGGAGAAGTTAGCGCTCCGAACGGCATGATTGTCAGGGCCGGCGATGAAGCCGCTAAATCGCCAGCCGGGGGCCACACATCAGGTCGGGAGGTCATTAAATATGGATGTTTGGTGATGGGTTAAGACGATTGTGGAGTCTGATTCGGAGGATTAGGGATGCTGGCTTCGGTCCCTTGGCGACCAAAGTCCCTATCAGGAGGGTGTCGGGGAGCCTGGGGGTAAGCCTCGGACTCTTGATTTTGGCTCAGGTCATGATCTCACGGTTTGTGGGATCGAGCCCCACGTCAGCCTCTGCACTGGGCACGCAGAATCTGCTTGAGAATCTCTCTCTCCTTTTCTCTCTCTCTCTCACTCTCTCGCTCGCTTTCTCCCAAGAAAGGAAGGAAGGAAGAGAGAGAGGGAGAGTAGAGCAGTCCTTGAAACACAGATGCGAAGTGTTTAGCAGCAACAATATCAGCTCAGTCCGGTAGCCTCCTCTTGGGATTTGACATCTTCCCTCCTCCTTTTTTTAAAAAAACATTAAAAAAATTTTTTTTCATGTTTTTAAATTTATTTTTGAGAGAGCGAATGGGAGAGGGGCAGAGAGAGAGAGGGAGACACAGGATCTGAAGCGGGCTCCAGGCTCCGAGCTGTCAGCACAGCGCCCGACGCGGGGCTTGAACTCAAGGACCACAAGATCATCATCTGAGCCAAAGTTGGACATTTAACCGCCCAAGCCCCCCAGGAGCCCCTAAATGATAAGGGAACAGGGGCGCCTGGGTGGCTCGGTCGGTTAAGCGTCCAACTCTTGATTTTGGCTCAGGTCATGATCTCACGGTTTGTGGGATCGAGCCCCACATCGGGCTCTGTGCTGACAGCGTGGAGTCTGCTTGGGATCCTCTCTCTTCCTCTCTCTCTGCCCCTCCCCTGCTTGTGCTCATGCTCTCTCTCTCAAAGCTAGAAATATGATAAGGGGACAAACACGAAACACTTTTTTTGGCAGGGGAAGCAGAACATTCTGGGTGGAGGGAATAGCGCATGAAAGCGATTGGTCTAGGAATGGCTTAGGTTGTTTGTGGGACAGCAAAGCCAATGAGGCTGGGAAGGAGGTGGGGGGAGCGGCAGGTGATGGGCTGGAGGAGGATGGAACCAGGTGTGAGGGCACCACTAAATCGAGACCCTTTGACGTATCAATGACAGCAAGCCAGACTGGTGTTCACCTCAGGGCCTTTGCACCTGCTGTGACCCCCCCGCCTTAGACCTTCTCTCTGCGGGGGTGATTCTTTTTTCATCACTTCCATCTTGAGGATGTCGCTTGTTCAGAGACATCTTCCACATTTTTCCAGGCACACGTGCATAAAAATGCACTTTTTTTTTTTTTTTTTTGCAAAAGCTGAAATATCGTATACATTCTGTTGTAGAATGCAGTATGTTCCGAACGCTTGCCCCAGTCAGTAGAGTTCTGCACCACTTTGATAGGGGCCTGGAGCTCCAGTGCCTACATACATCTCATTCTCTTAGGCAGTTCTCTCACACCAGGACATTTGTCCCTCGTGCTACCCCCTCCCCGCCCCCCCCCCCCCCCCACGTTTTAGCATTATATGCTCTGCAGCGATGAGCATCCCTGAGCTTGTCCTGCGTTGCCTCTGTTGTGACTTTGCGTAGCAGATCAGGTGGAGGTAATAGATAAAAGGTCGGCCGGCTCCAGCCAAGTTACGACCGATGTCATTTCAGCGAGGGAGAAAACTAGTTAACCAGGCCCTCTAGCTTGGAAGCAGCCGCCTTGCTTTTCCCGGAGTGAATGCCCAACTTCTTTCTTCGGCAGTGGCTGGCTGCTTCCAGCAGGGGGTGTCGTGAGCCCGCCCCGCCTCAGCCCTTGACACCTGCTATCAGCTGCTAATTGACGGAGGTTCCAGTCCCCCCTGGATATTAGCCGGGGCCGCCTTGCTAGCTTTCTCAGTGATTGTTGGCAACCCCGACTCAGATGAATCTCCCTCCCTCCTTCCTCTCCTCCTCCTCTTCCTCTTCAAATTCAGTTGTGTTCTCCCTCTCTCCCCATCGTGGACCAGTTTTCCTAGATGGCTGTCAGTCAGATGTTGCTGCTTGATGACTAGGGGACTTTACAAACACATACAGGGAACTAAATCAGGTGACACCCGTAAGTGCCCAGGGCAGCAGCTGACTCTTGGAAGCAGTATTTAATTTTTTTTTTTTTTTTTTTTGAGAGACAGAGGGAGAGAGCGAATGCACACAAGCACAGGGGAGGGGCAGAGAGAGAGGGAGACGCAGAATCCGAAGCAGGCTCCAGGCTCTGAGCCGTCAGCACAGAGCCCGATGCAGGGCTCGAACCCACGAACCGTGAGATCGTGACCTGAGCCCAAGTCGGACGCTTAACCGACGGAGCTACCCAGGCACCCGAGGCTCTTTCTTAATTACTAACATTGTCCCACAAGAGTTACAAAAACTGCCAAATTTCACGCAGGGGTGGGAGGAGGGAACTGAGAAAGCAGGTGTGAGGGGGTGCTTTGCCCTTGCGCGGCCCTCGTTCGGCGAGCGGGTGACATTGGAGGTGATTGCAAAGTTGCGGGGGCTCATGGTTCACCCTGGGGCCGAGGGCCTCACCTCCGTGCCCTCCCAGGAGCGGCCACGTCCTTCCCCCCCACCCTGAGAGGGTCTGGGCCCTGACGATGGGGAGTAGAATTTAGTGAGGAGCAGGGAAGGGTGTTGCGGGAGGAGGGAAGGGCACCAGCTAAAGCCAGTTACTGTGAGTGCCTGGGCTGTGTGGGCACCAGACAC